ACCATGGTCATCATCAGTCTCATCATGAACATCAACCACCTTCAACATGATCATCATCAACCATGGTCATCATCAGTCTCATCATGAACATCAACTACCTTCACCATGACCATCATCAACCATCGTCATCATCAGACTCATTATGAACATCAACCACCTTCACCATGACCATCATCAACCATCGTCACCATCAGTCTCATCATGAACCAGGGGCGACGGAAGCGGGGGGGCCGGGGGGGCACTGGCCCCCCCCACTAGATTTTTTGGGGGGGCCTGCCCCCCCCAGAATACAATGCCTCACACAAAAAAAAAAACGCATGAGATTTGGTTATGATTACCATTATTTATTATTTTGATATTACATAATTTTCTGTATCTAAAAAATATACGATATATCTAGCGACGACTTGCATCATTTTTGTGTCTCTCAGCACAATTGCAAGTGGTTTAATGCGCGCAAAATGTTACTGATTGAAATATCACTTATACACGTTTGTAATCAAGCTAAACGGGGGGGGGGGGGTCATTTCAAGGTACCGTTAAATATTGGAGTGCCCCCCCCAAATTTTTCAGCTTCCGCCGCCCCTGTGAACATCAACCACCTTCAACATGACCATCATCAACCATCGTCACCATCAGTCTCATCATGAACATCAACCAACTTCACCGTGACCATCATCAACCATCGTCACCATTACTATCTTCACCATCAGGCACCATAATCCCTGTCATCTTCATCACTGCTGTCATTACCATCACCAGCCACTTTCACCATTACTACGATCACCATCACCATTCCTATCATCATCATTACCATCATCTTCATCCACGTATTCTTAATAACTGCTATCATTACCATCTTTAAACAACATCACCATTCAATAAGGGGTGTGCAAAATCGAAAACAGTCGTCAAAACTTTTAGTAAAATTGTAACTCAGTTGTGATCACATYAAGTACCCAGATTTTCAGGCTTCGTTTCGCTCATCTAACTCAAAATAATCAAGAGAATCAAAGTATTCAATTTGTTCATCACACGATACATACTCTGGTGAAGAATCTGGTGACGGACAGACAGGTGTGCTCTCTCCAGAACTGCTTCCTGACAAATAAAATGAAATTATTATTCTTAGTTGTAAACTTTATAATTTAGTGCTCTGCACCAACAACTTGAATGCTTTTCTCGAAAAAGAAAATGCAAGATATAAAAACTATAAAAAAATCAATTACAATAAAAAAAAACCGGTTATAAACAATTTATCATTTAGATCTTCAAAGAACGTGCGTGATACGGATATGCCTGATATGAGACTGTATCAGCACTTGTCATCTGCTCGCGATCGGGTGCGATTGAGTTTAGAAGGAGTTTGAGTATTTATTTGCAGAATTAAATGATAAAAGGCTTGTCAAAATACTCCGTGACTCGTAAAAATACACAGCCGTACCAGATGCTCAGCCGACTGATAACATCCATTTAATGACTAAAGGCGGAAGACCAAATGTGTATTTGAAAAAAATGCTTTCCCAGTATGACTGACACTTTCCCTTAAGCTAAAGATATCAACTAACCTGGCGTATGAGTATGTCTTTTCCTATGAAACTTAGGCGTTCCAACAATGACTTGCTTGAAATTAGACAGCCTAGACTTCCATGGGCTTCCTGGGGGTGTTGTGGAGATGGGTGAATCAGGGGGACTTGGGCCAGGACTCCTTGTTTGTAGGTATGGTTGGTGTTTAGGGCTGATGTGAATCATCTGCACGGGAGAGCTGGGGATGGATAAATAGAAAAAAATGAAAAATAAGTTTAAATTTTTTCCCATGTTTCTGTAATCAAGACAAGACCAGATTAGACTGTTAAAGTGCCTATGATACCTAATTTTAAAAATATTTTCAGCATTGATTCTAAATGAAGTGAATAGTTTTGTATATTTAATAATGCCACCTTTTGACCGCCGTCCATCACATTTGAAAATAGTTTGAAAGAAAAAGAAAAACCCATGAAAAGCACTCTAAGACTCAGGTCAAATCTCGAACTACACATGAGCTATAAACAATGTAAACAATAGGCATATTTTTTTATATCTTTTGGTTCGGCTCATGTGAAATTCAACGGTTTGTATTCGGCCTAAAGTGAGATAATTTGCAATGTAATAATAAATGTGATTAATGATAACGATGACGTTGATGGTAATTAATAATGGTAATGCTGATGACAATGATGGGGAACAAATTATATAAGATAAAGATATGATATGCATGATATACGAGTTATGAGTAGTAACCACACCTTGATGCTCCTGTGTGTGTTTCAGCACGAGGTCTTACGATGGGTGGTGACGGACACAGTGATACGGTTTGTCTGTGAAACCAAAAACTAGTTAAAGCAAGTTTGACTGCGTTTAACATTTTACACAACACTTATTAACTGGGACCAAAAGTCGGACCAAACAATCGGACGAGCAACTGAATAAAAAATGATCATAAAAAATTATTGAATGAATGAATAAATGAACGAATAAATGAATGAATGAATGAATGAATGAACAAATGGATGAATAAATGAATGAATGAACGAACGAATAAATGAATGAATGGATGAATGAATAAACGAATAAATGAATGAATGAACGAATAAACGAATGAATTTCATTAATTAATTGATACAATAGAACACTTCTTATAACGGTGAAACAACACAGCATGTCTCGAAATTGAGGAAATCCTTTGAACCAATGAGGGAGCACAAAATCACTAGTCCAATACCATCATGCTATGACAAGTCCATAACGCCATACGAAATCCGCATATTCTGTCCAGCCATATGAAATCTGCTCTAGTAACGACAATAACTGATGTTTACCATGAGACATAGCAGATTAGCATGACCGTGAAAAAATTCTTCGGACAAACGTACCGTGTTGTACAGGGCTTAAAATTACGGCCGATCAGTCGCCGGTCACCAACACAGTCCAAATTAGTTCTGGCTTAGTCATAACTCAAAATGACCGACCAGACAAAGATTTGACCGGACAAGTCCCAGTTCTGGCCGGACATCGTCCGATGTCCGATGCCCGGTGTCCGATGTCCGAATGTCCGATGTCCAGTGTCCCGTGTCCGATGGTCATTTTAAGCCCTGATGAAGTTTTTGCTTGCTGTGACCATGATATATCCCTGACCTAAAACACTCATCACCCATCTAATCAACTGATCAAAACGAATTCAACATAACTTTTGAGACATATTACCTTGATCTTTGTAACCTTGGCGAACCACAGGAATCTACTCGCTTGCGTGGAGGGTCTTCAACTGAATAAGAGCAAAAAATCATCCACCATCATGTTGTCATATATTCATATGCAGGGGCGTAGGATGGGGAGGAAGGGGGGG